TTTGGAACGCGTGAGCTTCCTGCTTGTCTATATGAAACGTGCGTGAGTGGACAGGTAGCCTACCTATACGATGTTTACCGAGTTGATAGTTCCTGTCCTTTACACGTTTTTTTATGATCAAGACAGTCCACGAGTGGAATTGTCAGCTCCAGCTTTCCCTTGTGCTTGATCCTGCTGTGAGCGCATACCTGAGTTTTCGCCCTTTGATTCTCAGACCTTCGAGAGTAGTAAACTCGTGTCTGTGTGACTTGGCGTATTTAATATCTTGTATTCCATCGTTAGATCAACTCTTATTCTCCTGTCGCTCAGTGGGAATAATCCCAACTGCCGAAGTCTGTCTCGGTAGGTTCCATTCTTTACCCTATCACCCAAATGGTTTTTCGTCTCTTTATTTGGTCTGAGAGATTCGTGTTCCTTTTGAAGGGAAGGAGCGCAACAATATCGCGGACTTCAAAGTACGACCGTGTGTACGTTGCAAAAAGAGTTAGGAAAAATTTTGGGTGGTTGATCTAAGTATTCTTCACATAAAGTGGAAAGTTAATTTTACCAAAGTTGTGTGCCCCATGTACTTTCAGCTAGTATCTGAGACCTGTGTTTATTCTAGTCATAGACCACGTCCGGAAGAGAAAAATGAAAGAGGATTTCCATGGAGAACGTAGGTTGTTTGTGTCCCATGAGGCCGACAGTTCATGACATGAAACTTTCACAGGTTAAGTTTTAACCCTTAGTATGTGTATATTGGTGAAGTTGAGCTAATTTGATCTAAAAGGTCATTGGTGAAGATCAGGAAGAGGAGTGAACGTATAATGATCTACTCTCACGTCCTTCCAACTCTCATGCACTATTTTCACCCTGATACTAAACGTCCTATTCTCTAGATAGTTTCAGAGCTAATACAGAAGTTAGTCAGCAGAACCCGTGTTCACTGCCTTCGCTATGAGGAGCACGTGCGCATTGTTTCGATAGCTTTGCGATGTGGATGAATATTACATATACTGGGACCGTTGGGTCTCAACAAGTCGTCCAGTTGTCCTATGGAATTGGAATATTGGACCTGCCTTTTCTATACCCGTATTGAGCTTCATAGGGAATTGTTTTTGTCCATGCATTCCCTTGTTTGTTTATTAAATAGTCCTTCCATTACCATCAACATTATTGGCAGTAATCAAACTGGACTGTAACATGCTGGATCTCTTCTAAATCCTTCTTCGAAAATTGGAAAACCAGCTTGTATTAATCCTATTGGACGTTCTTGCAACTTAAGTGAACGCTTAGACAAGTCACCTTAAATGGTGGCTTCCGTACAATGTTTAAGGTTGACAAATAGGATGCTTTCACATTCTGGTGACTTTGTTGGTAGCGTGGATTTTAGTTTTTACCTTTAACCCGGGAATTAGTTCGATGTTCCCTAACACATCTACATGGATTGGAAGAGGGTATTGTTATGAACTTGCAACTTCCTGGTTTAATTGGTGACTTTAAAGATCTCTGCCTTTCCTAGATTAGCAAAATACTCACAATTTCAACCCCTGAAAGAACAGTTGCGTTGATTTTTACCCTTTATCTAGATCGTTAATCTGAGTTTTGGGGTTATTCCTTATCTCATATCGTATCGTCACCAGCACGTTCGGTCAGTTCTCAGCCTCCGTTGGCCATGAATAGCCGCTTGTAAAATCCTCCTGTTATGCTTGTATTCTGTTTTCTGAAGGATGGGGCTTTAGAGTCTCCAAATAGTAGCCTTTGACCAAAAGTCAGGTGGGGTAGGTATAGGATTACCTGGATTAACTTATCTTTACGGGCGTCAGTAAGTATATGGGCTCGGCACATTCCCCCAATTATGTGCTTCGCGCCGTTCGCCTGGAAGCGATACCATCATCATCCTGTTACCTCGGTCAGTCCTCTGCAATGTGGTGTTACGACCTTGAAGTGACCATTAATGCGTACTATCGCTCAACCTTCTGTATTGTGCTCTTTTGCATCAGAAGTTGTCATGCCTCTCAAGGTCACTTTATCCGAGATGTGTGGGAATAGACACGTTTCAGTGAGAATTATGATCTCCAGATGCAGCTCGGAGCACTCGTTTCTGATCTCCCTTAAAGTATCCCTTAATCCTCCTAAGTTACACTTAACGGTTTGTCTCTTCACCTGGTGCTCCTCTACAATAGCATCTGCCTCCAGGTTTTTAAACAGATTTTTGTTTAAAGTGGTCGTCCAATCCGGCTTCTGCCACATGTGATGTGACTGGGGAGATATTTCTTCTATCTATCCCATGCCTAAGGTGCCTCAGTTAGGTCCACCAGTTTTCTTAATTTCACAGCTAACAGATGAGGGGAATTATTCATCTTCAATCTGTCTATCTGCAAGAGAAGATGCCGCTTGTGTCCTTGAAATTATTTAAATACCTCAACCTGGTAGTTGAAAGCTGGATACTTCCTTCTATTCGTGAGACATTGACGAGGTCACACCTTACCTGAAGTGGTGAAAGAACTCAAAGATAAGTGAGATAATTCCAAATCATTGACGATTTTGCAAATTTAAATGTACCAAACCAGTCAAATCAGAAGTCAGTAATGAAAAGGTTAGAAGACATATTTGGAGAGCTGTTGATGTGTCAAAAAGTCTTTGGGTCTAAGCTGACTAACAGTTGTAAAGGATGAGTAGCACAATGTACCCACTCTTGATCTAATGCAGCTATGTTACTGAGCACCTTCAGCTAGGTGTGTCTAATAAAACCAATGAGGACATCATCAATGTCAAAGGCTTACAGAACCATTTACATTGTGCATTTGTTTACCACTACATGCTTAATGGAAGATGTGTACGTAGGTCACTTAATTCAGCTGTTATTGACGTTATGGTTGGAGTTTTTACTTCTAAAACCTTATCAGCCATGTCGACTAGATTCTTCGAGTCTAAAGGTTAACTGGAAGCACAGGGAATTCGCCTGCACAAAGTTGGTGGTTGCGGCAAATATACACTTACTGATTCAAAGTATTTGTTCGTTTCGAGATTTCGATCTAAGAAAATTAAATTTGCAAAATCGTCAATGATTTGGAATTATCTCACTTATCTTTGAGTTCTTTCACCACTTCAGGTAAGGTGTGACCTCGTCAATGTCTCACGAATAGAAGGAAGTATCCAGCTTTCAACTACCAGGTTGAGGTATTTAAATAATTTCAAGGACACAAGCGGCATCTTCTCTTGCAGATAGACAGATTGAAGATGAATAATTCCCCTCATCTGTTAGCTGTGAAATTAAGAAAACTGGTGGACCTAACTGAGGCACCTTAGGCATGGGATAGATAGAAGAAATATCTCCCCAGTCACATCACATGTGGCAGAAGCCGGATTGGACGACCACTTTAAACAAAAATCTGTTTAAAAACCTGGAGGCAGATGCTATTGTAGAGGAGCACCAGGTGAAGAGACAAACCGTTAAGTGTAACTTAGGAGGATTAAGGGATACTTTAAGGGAGATCAGAAACGAGTGCTCCGAGCTGCATCTGGAGATCATAATTCTCACTGAAACGTGTCTATTCCCACACATCTCGGATAAAGTGACCTTGAGAGGCATGACAACTTCTGATGCAAAAGAGCACAATACAGAAGGTTGAGCGATAGTACGCATTAATGGTCACTTCAAGGTCGTAACACCACATTGCAGAGGACTGACCGAGGTAACAGGATGATGATGGTATCGCTTCCAGGCGAACGGCGCGAAGCACATAATTGGGGGAATGTGCCGAGCCCATATACTTACTGACGCCCGTAAAGATAAGTTAATCCAGGTAATCCTATACCTACCCCACCTGACTTTTGGTCAAAGGCTACTATTTGGAGACTCTAAAGCCCCATCCTTCAGAAAACAGAATACAAGCATAACAGGAGGATTTTACAAGCGGCTATTCATGGCCAACGGAGGCTGAGAACTGACCGAACGTGCTGGTGACGATACGATATGAGATAAGGAATAACCCCAAAACTCAGATTAACGATCTAGATAAAGGGTAAAAATCAACGCAACTGTTCTTTCAGGGGTTGAAATTGTGAGTATTTTGCTAATCTAGGAAAGGCAGAGATCTTTAAAGTCACCAATTAAACCAGGAAGTTGCAAGTTCATAACAATACCCTCTTCCAATCCATGTAGATGTGTTAGGGAACATCGAACTAATTCCCGGGTTAAAGGTAAAAACTAAAATCCACGCTACCAACAAAGTCACCAGAATGTGAAAGCATCCTATTTGTCAACCTTAAACATTGTACGGAAGCCACCATTTAAGGTGACTTGTCTAAGCGTTCACTTAAGTTGCAAGAACGTCCAATAGGATTAATACAAGCTGGTTTTCCAATTTTCGAAGAAGGATTTAGAAGAGATCCAGCATGTTACAGTCCAGTTTGATTACTGCCAATAATGTTGATGGTAATGGAAGGACTATTTAATAAACAAACAAGGGAATGCATGGACAAAAACAATTCCCTATGAAGCTCAATACGGGTATAGAAAAGGCAGGTCCAATATTCCAATTCCATAGGACAACTGGACGACTTGTTGAGACCCAACGGTCCCAGTATATGTAATATTCATCCACATCGCAAAGCTATCGAAACAATGCGCACGTGCTCCTCATAGCGAAGGCAGTGAACACGGGTTCTGCTGACTAACTTCTGTATTAGCTCTGAAACTATCTAGAGAATAGGACGTTTAGTATCAGGGTGAAAATAGTGCATGAGAGTTGGAAGGACGTGAGAGTAGATCATTATACGTTCACTCCTCTTCCTGATCTTCACCAATGACCTTTTAGATCAAATTAGCTCAACTTCACCAATATACACATACTAAGGGTTAAAACTTAACCTGTGAAAGTTTCATGTCATGAACAGTCGGCCGAACAGTCGTGCCGATGTAACAAGAGATAAATACAAAGAACTCTGTTGGTTTATTCAAGCTTGCGCCAGAGATATTGTATATTGAAATTTGTGTGGTGACGATTTTTTGACTTCAAGGTAAGTGGGATCGACTTGTCTGTTATCTTGCGTATCATTGCAGTTAACAACACAGCAATAACTCGTTCATGTACTTTCTATTTCAATCAATCAAACAAAGGCTATTATAGTGGGCTAAAACGAGGTTTTTTCTCATTTGACAATGCATTAATGATTACCTACATATGCTAATGGCTAACTAGGTTGAGGACATGAATATGCTTATATCACTGTAAGTTAATGGTTTAATAAAAAAGATTGATTGTACCAACTTAAGGACGGAACTTATTTTTATATGTTCCCATATCTCTGTAATTGGCTCAGGTTTACCTTTGACGATTACCACATTATCGGATTTAAGTAATGTAAACCAAATATCCCTGAAAGTTATAACGTATTTTTCTACGTCTTCGTTAACTAATGTTTTAGTATTACTAACTAGTCTGCTATTTTATAGTGTACTAATGAATGAGATTTTCTCAGTATACCGCTAATCAGCTTGTTTGGCTGCAGCGTATCCGCAATACACAGTCTTTTTATTCTGTCCCATTTAGGTTTCAAAAGGTAGTAGTTTATTTTCACCTTGGACTTTCATGATAAATTAATTACAATTGCTTCTGCCCATTTAATTTATTATTCTAGAGTCTTTGATATTTACAAATATGACTGATGAAAGAAGTATTTCTCGTCTTGACCTACGTGATCGTCATATAAGTCAAAGTATAGATGGTAAATGTTTTGTTGTACCGATTATTAGAATATTTCAGGCTCGGAATTAATATCTGAGTTATCCATCGTCCGTGCACAAAGGACATCAAGTGAATTTGCCTTATCATCTGCTCAAATCAAACATGAGTCGAAAATAAAAATTCTAAAAACTGAAAAGGAGGTAGTATCAAGTTATTAACATCAAGTCTTCTAGATTATTGAATCAGAAAAAAACAACTTAGTTAACGAGAACAATTCTTTGAAAAGAAAATATCAACTGTTAGAATTTGAAAGAAGCCAAGATCAGTCTAAAATGAAAAGTTTTCAACGTAACCTTGATGATCGTATAAATTCTATTATTCAATCATCCAGTAACTTGGGGTCATCGTTGACTTTAGTAAGTTAATTTTTTTTAGTGAATTATGTTAATTAATCTCACTCAATTTTTAGCTGAGAAATTAATTGATTCACTTTTACAAAAACAAGTCTTTATTTGTTTCATATCTTCACAAGTTGATAATGTTGTCATTTCAAGTTACCAAACGATTAAGTAATTTTGTTTTGATAATCCATTCTCCTCAAGCTAATTGTAGATATTTCCTAACATATTGAACTCACTTATTTGTAATTTTGATGCTTATCAAGTCATTATGTAAATCTCTTTAACAACTAATAGTGAATAAACGGCACTAATCAGTTTGTAACACTAACAATTTATTATCACAAAACTTTAAAAAAATTTCAGCCTAGTTCCAAGAGACTTGTTTAGTTTTGACTAATTCAAAGAATATGTGTACACTGTGTAGCATTTGTAATGATTGTACAAGCACTATCAACTAATAATACAACTTCAATGTGATGTCATTTCGATTTGCTTATACAGTAACAGTATTGTTAAGCTTTAAATCAAAGTAGATTAGCACACCCCCTTCTATGTTAGCAAATATTATTGTATATAGTTGAAATCATAAGTCAATTGAAGCTAGACAATCATGGAAAACCTGGAAGTACTGGACGGCCGTTTGGTCCTATTGTGGGACTCCTCAGCTTCCAGGTTTTTCATGGTGGTCTAGTTTCAATTGACTCATGATTTCAACTATATAAAATTACTAGAATCTCCACGAAACTCCCTTCAAATATTATTGTTTCAAGTGGGGATTTGTTGTACACCTTTCTTTGTGGCCCGCTGATCTGATTCTAATGTGTATGAACGTATGAATATGCTATGAACATAAATATTCCATTCAACTCCCTATATTACCCAGGCGGACCCCGTTTGTGTATCGGTGGTAATAAGAAGCCAAATACGGGTTACGTTGGAGGAATTTATTTCAAGCGTTCGTTTATCCAGACATACTTTCAGAATAAGAAGCGGAGTGGAGAAGCCGAATGAGCCAACCCGATTTGATCAAGCGTGAGTAGATATTCATGTTCACACAATAAGTTAGAGACATTTGATGAGTAGGATAAGCAGCGCACACATATACGCTCATATAAAACAGTCAATGTTAATAAACGAGTGGTTAACAAGGTCTAAATTTGGCAGTGAAAGAATAAATAGATTGGTTTGCCTGGAAGCTAGAATAACTTATGTGGGTTTGACATAGTACCAGACACCACAACTTGTCTATGCATAACATTAAATCACGAAATGGCTGATTTGATTTCTGATTAACTGAATGCTCAGAATTTCTACAGTAAATGTAATTAACAACTCAACACAACTTTTTATGTTATATACATAGCAGTAATTTTATTCTATCGTAGGTTACTAGTATTCGATCATAGGTATCTTCGAAGCATTGCTCGTATATCGTTTTGTGGAGATTTTAGTAATTTTATACAGTTGAAATCATGAGTCAATTGAACCTAGACCACCATGAAAAACCTGGATGCACTGGACGGCTGTTTCGTCCTATTGTGGGCCTCTTCAGCCATCCAGTGCTTCCAGGTTTTCCATGGTGATCTAGCTTCAATTGACTCATGATTTCAACTATATCAACTTAATACAATCTTCTTTATCATAATAACCAATAATTTAATGAAATGAATTAAACTATTTTCTTTTTTTATAATTACAGGAAACTGAACGTTTAAAAGATGAAGTATTAAATTATGAAAAAAAATTTTCAGATTTACAAACTGCTCATTCTCAACTACAATTAAAAGTTAAAGAATTAGAAACTTTATTAGAATTACGTTCACAGTAAGAATATTTGATTTAAAAAGAAATTTTTTTATTCAGACGATTAAAAGAATTAGAAATGTATGTTGAAGAAAAATCAACTGAATTAAAAGAATTAACCGAATTAAAATCGACGATCTTCGTAAGTGGATACTTGTGTGTGTGTGTTATATCGATTGGCCTAAATGGCCCTGTTTAATATATATTGTGATGATCCCCACTATTTAGAGAGTAGTGACTTATCGGTCCTGCTTTCTGCTTAACCCCAGCCAGTTAAGTGCCCCCAAATACCCTGGTATGGCAGAGAGTACGAAGATTCCACTCTCCTCGAAATGCTCTCACATTACCACGTGTATATAGCCTCTGCCAGGAAAGTCCTACTCACTGCCTTCTCGTGGCATTACAGTTGTTTACGAAATTGAGAGGACGAAAATCGAATATCCGACGCTTTAACCGGGTTGGTGGTGGACACTCTGTGTCCACCTAGGGGAGTTGGAAAACCCTGATTCCGAACCAATGGTGCACATTGGCTCCAGTATCCTGATGGAACGAATGGCGGACGAACCTGTCATTGGTCAACGGCTACCATGGGACTGCATCTCCTCACGATGCTCCACTGCCTTGTGGATCAGACATTCAGGTCAAAGGCTCGGGGTGTGGCCCCCTAAGAAAACCACCTGCTTCAGTTTGGGCACCTGGGCAGTATCACAGCCCTCAAACAAATCGAATGAGATTTGTGAGGCGCATATTTATCTGGTGCTTCCTTATACCAATATTTATGTGTTTAAATAAATAAAATAAGTGGTAATCAAGGATATATGAGATATAGACTTTTGATTATGGTCAATGTAAGCTATTTTATTTATTTATTTATTTAAACACATATATATTGGTACAAAAGGGCACCAGATAAATATGCGCCACACAAAATAATGAAAGTAGGAAGAGAAGGGATGAAAAGATAAGGCGGACTGAAATGTACAACCAGAAAACTCTTTCAGTTAAGAAAGTTAGAACCACTCTTCATGTAGAAAATAAAAGAAGATTGCAGCAGGATCGCCACTGGCTTCTATTCTGAGCCATATCTGATAACGTCTCTAGCCACTGTGTTGCACCATCTCTCGGACTCCAGCCAGGGAGTCGTGAAGGACCAACAGAAGCAAGCCCTTTGCAGCTTTCTTTCATGCCACGACACCATGTCATACACTGACCTCCTCCGCTTTTTCCGACCAGTCCCAGAGTCGGCAAATAATGCACGGCGTGGAAGTCTCTGGGACGACACTCGTAGGATATGTCCAAGCCACCGAAGTCGGTGTTTCAAGATGGTGACACCAATTGAATTATCGTCTCTGTGCCCGAACACACGATGCCGAACCTCTGCATTACTAACATGGTGTTGCCACTGTATGTCAGCAATCCTTCGGAGACAACGATGATCGAACACAGAGAGTCGTCTAACATCCTCAACTCGGAGAGGCCAGGCTTCACAAGCATAGAGCAAAACTGCTCTCACTGACGCGTTGTAGATCCGACTTTTCACAGCCGGACTAACATCACGAATGCACCAAAGATGGCCCAGATTGGCATAAGCCGCTTTGGCTTTCCTTATACGTGCATCAATCTCATCACTCACGCCACCACCAGCAGTTATGAAGCTACCTAGATACACGAACTTCTCAACTACTTCAATCTGCTCACCATCCAGGGTGAGTATAGGGTGAGAATCCTGCCAGTCTTGTAGGAGTACTTTGCAGTTGGAGGGTGCAAAGCACATGCCGTACCTGCGGACACTGATTGCCAACTGATTAAGTGCGGATTGCATGCCTTGGGCATTATCACACAGTAAGACAATGTCATCCGCATACTCGAGGTCGAGAAGTCGTTCTCCAGGTAACATATCCACACCGCCATTACTTACATCCATCAGAGCTGTTTCCAGGATGTCATCGATGGCAAAGTTGAAGAGGAATGGTGAGGTCGGGCAACCCTGTCTAACCCCACTACTCGAATGAAACAAGGAAGAAAGGTGGTTGTATGCCCTCACTCTGCCTGAGGTGTTCGTATACAGGGCCTTTAAGATGTTAATGAACTTCTCGGGCACACCCTTCTTCAATAGACAATCCCATAGAACAGTCCTGTTCAACGAATCGAAGGCAGCCCTGATATCAAGAAACACTACGATTGTTGGCCTGCGATAAGTATGACGGTGTTCTAACATTTGGCGGAGGGTGAATATGTGATCAATGCATCCTCGACCAGAACGAAAACCAGCCTGCTCCTCGCGAGTCAATCGTTCTGGGGTTTTAAACAACCTACGAAGAATAATAGAAGCCAATAGTTTGGACGCAATCGGAAGAAGCCTTATCCCCCGATAGTTGTTACAGAAACAACGTGAACCCTTTTTAAAGATAGGGACGACTATTGACTCATTCCATGATGTTGGAACACTTTCTTGCTCCCAAACCTTTGCAAACAACACCGTCAGTTCCTTAGTCAGAAAGTCGCCACCATCTTTAAAAAGAGCCGGAGGTAAGTCATCTGGGCCCGATGATTTGTAGCGCTTCAAGAGTTGGAGCTCCTTGCGGACTTCCGCCTCGTTTGGTGGATCAGTCGTCACCGGCCATGGGGGGCAGGGCAAACTGGTTGATGTTGCCGGACCAGCAGGCCAGTTGAACTGCCCTTCGAAAAATTCCGTGCATCGTCCAAGACGTCGAGAGATGTTAGTGATTGGCATTCCGTCATCCTCGTAGATTGTTTCACTCACACCAGACTTCTTGCTGTCAGTGGCTCGGATGAGTTGGAAGAGCTTCCGCCAGTTACCAGATGCAGCTGCTGCTTCCATCTCATTAGCACGCTCCGACCACCAGGCTTCTCGGTCCTTACGCAAGCTTTGCCCGGTTTAATTACGTAACAGCCTTCGTTTGTGGTCAAACTCACGGTCACTCGGAGTAGACCGACGGGCTTCCGTCAGTTGTAAGGAGCCAGAAGAAACCCAGTGCTTGTAAGCGGGACGTTTCGCGAAGCCGCAAGCGGCTTTACTCGCCATTTTCGTGGTGTCGTGAAGATGCAACTAATGCTCATCTATACTTTTCGGTGGGATGGTAGCTAGCCTTGAAGCTAGCTCCGCTCGAAACTTACTTGCAACAGATGTTGCAGCCAGTTTACTAACATCGAACCGTTGGTGGTGGTCAATCCTTCGGCCACTGAAAAGTAAGGTGAGATTGGCGCAGACCAGGTCATGATCAGACTCCAGATAGGTACTCCAAAAGGAGCGGCAGTCTTGTACATAACCACGCCGGTGGTAGCTGATCGCGATGTGATCAATCTGAGTCCAGGCTTGGGATGCAGAGGGAGGACGCCAGGTGGCACACCGGCGATGACTGTAACGGAAGTTAGTGCTAGCCAGAAACAGGTTGTGGTCTGTGCACAGTTGCAGCAAACGGTCCCCGTTATCTGTCCTGCTGCCAACAAGTCCCCATCGGCCACCTAAACGACTCTCTTCTGTGCCTAGACGCCCGACCTGAGCATTCAAGTCTCCGGCTAATACTACAATATCTGTCGAACGCGCTTTCTGGAGAAGAACTGTTAACTGGTGGTAAAATTCATCCTTGATTGCATCCGGGCTGCAATCTGTCGGGGCATAGGCGGAGATGACGAAAAGACACCGTTTCTCACGCCGATTTCTTCTCACTTTGATGGAACTTTCTAATCTAACAACACATAACCGACTGTTAATGGGGATCCAATCGATTAGTGCTGCCTCAGCCCTAGCGCTTAGTGCAACACCAACGCCTGCAAGACCAGACGAAGATGCCACAGGGTCCCCGGATAAGCGCACGTGGAACAAGCTTTTCGAAGCGACAGATGGAAAGCGAATTTGTAGTACTTCACTAGAGTCTTGAATACGGGTCTCGGATAGACAGCAAACATCAACATTAAGCCTTTCTAAAGACATAGCCAGCCCTATCTGTTGTCTGATATGCATTAGTGTGCAAACGTTGAAGTAAGCCAGCTTGAACGACGTACGTGGTTTCAGGAAGACTCCTTCAGTATTCGTAATCGGTGGAAGCATTCACTTTCAACCAGAAAGTGACTGGAGATCGTTTAGATAGGACAGAGTTTCCACCATGGGTGAGCTACTGCATAAGTTGGAAAGGAAGGATACACAATTTGGGAATAAAGGGAGTGAAAAAGCGACGTAGTAAATAATAGTAATAATAATAACAACAACAACAATAATAATAATAATAATAATAATAATAATAATAATAATAATAATAATGGTAATAATAATAATAATAGTGTAAATTTTCTCGTTTCTAGTATGAGCGGAAATAGAATCGTCAATAGATTTCATCATTTCATTTATTTGTGTGTGGGCTGTGATACTGCCCGGGTGTCCAAACCGAAGCAGGTGGTTTTCTTAGGGGGCCACATCCTGAGCCTTTGACCTAAAGGTCTGATCCACAAAACAGTGGAGCATCGTGAGGAGATGCAGTCCCATGGTAGCCGGTGACCAACAGCAGGTTCGTCCGCCATTCGTTCCATCAGGATACTGGAGCCAATGTGCACCATTGGTTTGAAATGAGAGTTTTCCAACTCCATTAGGTGGACTTTCTGTGTCCACCAACCCGGTTAAAGCTCCGGACATTCGCTTTTCGTCCTCTCACTTTCGTAAACAACACCGCCGCTACGAGAAGGCAGTGAGTAGGACTTTCCTGACAGAGGCTATATATTCGCTAGCCATGTGAGAGCATTTCGAGAGGGAGAATGGACTCTCCCCACTCTCGTCCGTACCAGGGCATTCGGGGGCAAAAAATCAAGGATATATGAGATATAGACTTTTGATTATGGTCAATGTAAGCTGATAGTGTACCATCTAGCCAACCTGTGAGATCATATCTCTGGTAAGTCATAAAACCTAGGCGATTTTGCAACATTTTACATAGTTTGTAATGAAACAGTTTCTTTTCATAACCAGTTTCAACTATCTTTGTATACCATCTACGTCGTGAAAGTCAAAATGTTTCGAACACTTATTTGATTAGACTAAATATCTAACATTTTTCACATCCATCAGATTCATAATTAATTTAAAACTATCTTAGTGATATTTTTTATTGAAAAGACTTTTTTTCTCCACAATTTTAGAAGTTAACTTCAGAGAAAGCCATCTTAGAAGAACGTATACTTTTAGAATCGAATCGAACTAAAATGCCAGAAGGTTATGATCGATTTATGAAAGGTGCCAGTTATGTGGCAAAATTAGAAATGGAACATGATCGATTAAAAACTGCTTTTAAAAATATTAGTCAAGAACGAGCAAAATGGCTTATTACTGAAGAAGAAAATTCAGAATTACGTAATCAAGTGGAAATTTTAAAAAAATGGCGTGAAAGAGCATTGATTGCTGAGAATACACTTCTTGAAAAAGAAACATTAATGAATAGTTTAATTTCAAAAACATGTTCACCTTTATCAGATAATCATTCTTCTATATCAGCTTTAAGAAGATTAGAACGTGAAAATGAAGTTTTATTAGCAGAACATGGTGAAATCAATGCAAAGTTAGTATACATATTATTGATTTCTTTTTAATGAATGGTTAACAGTATTATCTTACGTATCTAACAAGACTTGAATCGCAAGCACGTTTGGAATGTAATTCTATACTTCCGAAGACGAAATGTTGCTTCAGGATTGTCCTGCATCAAGTTGTGAATTAATGATAGGAAGTGCAGAAGTCGCGTTTGTCGACTGCTTCACTTGGAAATTTTATCAGCCCCGGTATGTCGATGTCTAATGAAATTTCGGCTGGCTTTTACTGACTTGAGTCGCTTGTGGCATAGACAAGATATCTCTCTGGCCAACGAATATTGAGTATTTTGCGTAGACAACTGTTGATAAACACCTGTATCTCCTGGATTATGGCTTTCGTAGTTCTCCACGTCTCCGCCCCATATAGTAGAACCGTCTTGACATTTGTATTGAAAATTCTGATCTTGGTGTTGGTTGAAAATTACCTGGTTGGGATTCGCGAGATAATAGCAATCGATGGTTAGAGACCTTGAATGATATGGCCCAAAATCGTTTGCAACGGTGAAGGTGCATCCACTCTTTGTGTTCTCCTAAACTCTAATCTTCTGAATTCTTCATGTCTCTATCTTTTTCTCTTCCCAAATTTATTTTACTGGATTATACTCCTTCAATAACATCTTCAAACCCTAATCTTTCACATAATGCTTATAGTCTTACTACTTCTACCACTATGGGATTTGAATCGACAACTGGATCTCTGTGCTAATGTGGTATGGCAACTCGAACTTATGTACGTACGTACGAAGTTCTACGTTGTGACTGACTGACTGGTTGACAATTGTTGTGCGTTCCAGATGTTCTTCAGTTGTACATACGCTGCTCTTGCTTTACCGATCAGCGTCTTCACATCTGCATCAAATCCATCATGTTTATCAACGATGCTGCCCAGATATGTAAAGGTTTTTACATCCTCAAAAGCTTCTTCGTCAAGTGTAATTCGATTGATGCGTGCTGTATTGTATCGGAGAGTCTTGCTTTTTCCTTTGTTTATACTGAGACCTACTGCTGCTGAGGCTGCTGCTACACTGGTCGTTTTCTCCTGTATTTATTGTTGCGTGTGTGATAAAAGAGTCAGATCATCTGCGAAGTCTCTCTCTCTCTCTACATATATATATATATATATATATATATATATATATATATATATAAATGAGTTTTTCACAGTCAAACAATACTTAACTTATATTACCTTGTATCCTTCAGTATCAGTACAAATCAGTGTAGATCAGATGATATTCATTTAGGGGGGAGGGTAAGGGTATGATATGTCATATAAATCCCATCTTTAACTATTGTTGATTTAACATTCTTTTCATCATGATTTTATCAAAAGAAAAGAAAACTTATATATTTTAATAGTTGAGATCATGAATCACTTGAAGCTATACGGCCAGGGAAAACCTCGAAGCACTGAAAGGTCGTTTCATCCTATTGTGAGACTCTTCAGCAGTGCATATCTACGATCCCGCCTCACGAGATTCGAACCCAAGATCTATCAGTTTCACACGCACGAGCGCTTAACCACTAGAACCACTGAGCCGGCCGGTATCCAACGATTTTCATGATCTCAACTATACAAAACCCACTTCTACTTATCCATTTATTTATTTAATTTTTATTTTTTAGAAATAAAGAATTATTAACTATATTAAAAGAAACTCAAAATGATAAAGTACAATTAAATAATCATTTACAAAATATCATCTATCAATTAGATAATTTAAAACAAATATCTACAAAAAGTAATCAAATTATTCAACTATTAACTAAGGTAATGTAAATTTTATCTTTAGTGTGAATGGGTTGAAATTATTCACTTATTTATTTATTTATATAAATCTATAAACATTGGTACATCATATGTTCCTTCAGGATCTTGGAGTGGATGTACACCATTGGTTTAGAATCAAGGTTTTACAACTTATCTAGGTGGAACTTCCGTATTCACCGATCCGGTTAAAGCGTCGGACATTTGCTTTTTGTCCTCTGAATTTCTTAAACAATACCCGTGGTGCGAGAAGGCAGTGAATAAGACTTTCCTGGCAGGGGCTATGTAAGCGTGACCATATGAGAGCATTTAGAGAGGAAGAGTGGACTCTCCCTACTCTCAGCTGTACCAGGGCATTTTAATACATAAAAATTGATACAAGGGGGTACTAAATATATAAGAGGCAAGTAGTAGTTATTATTGATTTGTGTGACAGCTATGATACTGCCTGGGTGCTCAAACCGAAGCGAATAGTTTTCTTAGGAGCCCACACCCAGAGCATTCGATCTAGAGATCTAATCTACAAGGGAGTGGATCAAAGTTAGGATGTGCAGTTTAATGGAAAACAGTGACCAATAATTTGTTCACTCAGGATCCTAGGGACCATGTATACATTTGGTCTGGAATGAGGGTTGTCCAACTTTCCTAGGTTGATCCTCTATATCCACCAACCTGATTAAAGTACCGGACATTCGCTTTTTGTCCTCACGATTTCGTAAGCAACACCCTAGAGGCGAAAAGGCAGTGATTAGGACTTCCCTGATAGTGGCTGAGCGACCATGTGAAAGCAGTTGGAGAGGGTTAACTGACTCTCCTCATCCTCGACCGTACCAGGGAATTTGGGGTTATTAATAATTATATTTTATTAACCTGATGGTAAGAGAATGAAACTCTATCAAAATCATCTCATTGATCTATAAATCACCGCCATTACCTTTATCGTCATTATTATTATTATTATTCTCTTTTTATAGGAAAATAATTTATGTCAAAATCTATTAAATAATTATATATTACATGAGAATGATACATTCACTATTCCATTAGAATATCAAAATTCAATGTCTAATTTAAAAGAGTTATTCAATAATTTCAATGAAAATTATAAAGAATGTACAATTTGTTTAAATCATTTATTCAAATTAACAGAGAAGATAAATCAAGTAAGTTTCAGTAGTATATATATATATATATGTGGTACAATGGGGCACCGAATAGATATGCACCACATAAATCTCATTCGATTTGTGTGAGGGCTGTGATACTGCCCGGGTGCCCAAGCCGAATAAGATGGTTTTCCTTCAAGGCAGCACCCGGAGCCTTTGGCCTAAAGATCTGATCCACAAGGCAGTGGAGCAACGTGAGGAGATACAGTCCCATGGTAGCGAGTGATCGACGATTGATTCATACGCCATTTGTTCCCTCAGGATACTCGAGTCCATATACACCATTGGTTTGGAATCAGGGTTTCCCAAATCCCCTAGATGAATTCTGCTTATTCAGCGACCTAGTTAAAGGAACGGACATTGGCTTTTCTTTCTCTCAATTTCGTAAACAACAGTAATGCCATGAGAAAACAGTGAGTAGGACTTGTTTGTCAGTGGTTGTATACGCGTGGTCATGTGAGAGAATTTTGGGAAGGCGAGCTGACTCCGTTCACCCTCGACTGTACCAGGGAATTCGGGGGTAATTATAAAAAGAAAGTTATGTAACAATCTATTAATAATAATGAGGTCATAACAATAGAATTAATGAATATAGAAGATGGAAAGATAGTATATTTGGTCATTTTGTATTTGTATATAGAGATAAGGATGAGGTTGTTGGATGTATAAGACCTTTACTGTATATAAGCTTCTGATTTGCAATTCTTTTTAAGAACCACTTGGACTTTATGAGTCTCTTTGAAGAATGGATTCAGGTCAGCTGATGACGACGTTAGCCGTGTTTACGAATTGTTTATGGACTGATCTATTGATCAGCTTTAGTAATCCTTTGCATAACCAGGTGGGGTAATGCCTGGTAATACGTTTTGAGAGATTGCTCGCCTTATGCATCCGATATAACCTGTTCCACAAGAGCATGTAAACTTGTAAGATACATATTGTTCTCGTCGAAAAGAAAATTTACTCCAGTGAATTATCTTCATTTCTCAAATCATTCTTAGTTTAGATTACTTAGTGATAAACTTAGTTTTAACAGTCACTACAAGATTACAGGGATTAGCCGGACATGATCTACTCACTATTAACCAATAGGAAAGTAGTTTGTATGTATCCAATCGACCAAGATACGAATAATTAACTATTCTATAAAATACTGGCTACTCATAAGTCGTATAGTTTAAGTATACAAATCTCTCTCAAGTCCTATTAAGGCTGTAGATACGTCATGACCTATGAAGTCTAAAAAGTATTACTGATGGTATATTGCGTAACAGTTGCATAATATTACTGATTTTCTAGAATAAAAAATGCAAACCGTCTGTTGTCCGAAAATAATATTCTCGTCACTGTATTTTAAGATTTTATATTCGATCCCTGACCGAGTTTATGGATGTTCATTGTTGAGTGTTAGTGGTAATAGTCTCAGATTAGGGCGTAGAATTCGCAATTGATCGACCGATTAGAAGTTATCAATTTAATGTATGTCGAGTCCTTCTTAATGCTGATCGAATTCCATTGATCAAATTGCAATGTGGTCACTACTAGCCTAAGTCACTCGACATCGTGCGCACTATATTGAAAAAGTAGTCGACAGGATTCCTTCTTCAACTAGTTTTGGTACTGTTTAGCACTTGTCACCAGGGTGAACCTGTAATGTGTAAGGAACTGACACCCCTTGCCAGATTCGATCCTGTGTCACAATCAGAGACGTTATTAATCAGTACTAAAAAGGACTTGAAATGTTTGACATTGTTCACTACTCAGTGATCATTCAGTTGTAAATACCTCTCAATCCTACAAAAGGTTAGTTGCAACTTGAATAGCCCAGTGATAATGTCTGTGGTTGTAACGGTGGATGATATGGGATCGTATCCGGTAGTGAGCATTATTTCCCTCAAGATTACATCTGTACCTTGTTGAAGAGTGACAAATATCACGAAAACATAAATTGGTACAGGGTATCCTATCGACAACCTTTAATCACCACCTTATATACGACAAAACAGCTAGATGTTTAATGCTTCTTTTTATTTTATATTTTATTTAAACATATAAGTATTGGTACAAAGGGGCACCAGGTACATATGCGCCACACAAATCTCATTCGATTTGTGTGAGGGCTGTGATACTGCTCAGGTGCCCAAACTGAAGTAGGTGGTTTTGTTAGGGGCCCACACCCGGAGCCTTTGACCTAAAGATGTGATCCACAAGGCAGTGGAGCATCATGAGGCGATGCGGTCCGATGGTAGCCGGTCACCAACGATTGATTCATACACCATTTGTTCCCTCAGGATACTGGAGCCAGCACATGTGTACCATTGGTTTGGAATCAGGGTTTTCCAACTCCCCTAGGTGAACTTTCCGTGTTCATAGGCCCGGTTAAAGCTCCGGACATTCGCTTTTCGTCCTCTCAATTTCGTAAACAACTGTAATGCCACGAGAAGGCAGTGAGTAGGACTTCCCTGACAGAATCTATATACGCGTGACCATGTTAGAGCATTTCGATGTGAGCGGACTCTTCCCACTCTTGGCCGTACCTTAATGCTTCTTAGTTTTCAATGGTTGTTTAAGAAGTCATTCTCTAACCTAAAACCGATTTCATTCTAGTTTTTCATACTTCTATCTTTTAAAAACTACTATCTTTTCAGACCAATGTTTCATGCACTGATTCATCATCATCATCATTAAATTCTTCAACATATGAAGGTGATAAAGAGTTGGTGAAAAAATTACGGTAAATTATTATTGTTTCTATTTTCTAATTGTTATCTACAAGATCCTTTCAGTCATAAGAAATCTTCATTAAATTATAATCATTGTTCATATGTTATGTATCTCTATCCACCATCTACCATTCGACATTCGCTATTCGCTGGTGTTAAAGTAGGTTGAAAGAAAAGCTAACAGGAATCGAACCAATGCCGGCGAATGCAGACTAACCCGTTTGGAGTTTGTGCAATGATCATAACGAATTGGTTAAAAATATTGGATGACACCGCTTAGCAGTAGTCTCAATGAAACAGATAGATTCACCTTTTGTATTCCTTTAGATCTTCAGTTTTAAAATAACCTTGTAAATTTTGATTACATCAATGCATTCTTAAATCATATTGTCTCAGTCAGTCAGTCACAACGAAGCACTTCATATGTACGTACATCAGTTCGAGTTGCCATACCACATTAGCACAGAGATGCAGTTGTCGATTCAAATTTCATAGTGGTAGAAATAGTAAGAGTATAAGCATTAATCCGAAAGATTAGTGTTTGAAGATGTTATTGAAGGAGTATAATTCAATGAAATAAATTTCGAAAGAGAAAAAAAGGAAACATGAAGAATTCAGAAGATTAGAATTTGGTAGAACACAAACAGTGGATGCACCTTCACCATTGCAAACGATTATCAGCCATGTCATTCAAGGTCTCTGACCATCGATTTCTATCATCTCGCGAATACCAACCAGGTAGTCTACACCTATCAGCATGGCTCAGTCCACTTGTCAGTAGTGACTTCATGGATTTGTATCACGGAGTCAAATGCTGCCTTTAGGTCGAGAAATACTACTATTGTGAGATGTCAGAATGTGTGTTTATGTTCTATGACCTAACGTAGAGTGAATTATCTGGTCTATACAACCATATCCAGGTCAAAAACCAGTTTGGTTTTCTCTAGTCTTCTCTTCACAAGCTTTGGTTAGGCGTCATATTTACAAAACAATCATTTGGTAAACTGATTTTATTTGTGTTTAGTTTCATTTCTTTTTCTTTGTCTTATAGACATCAAATATCTGAATTAGAAGAGAATATTGAAGCATTACAAACTAAGAATAAGGAATTAGTTGATCAATTAGAGATATATACTATGCAGGTAGCTCATAACATTGTTCATTGTATGTTAATGTATTACTTTATATGATTTATTCATTTAAACATATAAACATTGGCACAATGGAGCAGTGAATAGATATGCATCACACTAATCATTTGATTTGTGTGAGGGTTGGAATACTGTACGGGTGCTCAAACCGAAGCAGGTAGTTTTTTAGTTAGCTACATTACGAGCCTTTAACCTAAAGGTCTAATCTACAAGGAAGTGGAGCGACGTTAGGAGATGAAGTCCCATGGAAGCTGGTGACCAACAATAGGTTTATACACCATTTCATCCCTCAGGATCGTGGATCCTATGTACATCATTAATTTGGAATGAGGGTTTTCTAACTCCCCTAGATGAATCCTGCTTATTCAGCGACCTAGTTAAAGGGCCGGACATTGGCTTTTCTTCCTCTCAATTTCGTAAACAACAGTAATGCCATTAAAAGATAGTGAGTAGGACTTGTTTGTCAGTGGTTGTATACGTGTGGTCATGTGAGAGAATTTTGGGAAGGCGAGCTGACTCTATTCATTCTCGACCGTACCACGGGGGGCATTTTTTGTGACAGTAGAGAAAAGTGCATACATACTGAAATAATCATATGTACTGGACGTCAGTAACTATATTGTTAAAAAGACAGTCACAGAAAACCTGTAACCTTCAGATAAGCGAATGAGAATGAAGTTACAATATACTACCAATCAGAAAGCAACACGTGAGGCTGTATTAAACAGTTAATAATAACTAAACAGGATGAATTAGACACTTTGTATTTTGAGAATTGCCAGGCGGTTCAAGTGTACACACTTCCTAACAGTAACATACACAGTAGATGTTAGATTGATTATAGTAGGGAGAAACACCGTTTACAGTTTGGGCGATGTACCAAAAAATAGGAATGTCTATAAATTTTTCAGGATTATTAGTTTATTGGACAGAATTAAACTACAATGATGACCTTGTGTGGTTCTGTCAGTGACCCTTAGACATAAGACAATCGGGATGCAACTCCGTAAACGAAATCCATATAACAAAAAAAACGATAAAATTACAAAAAATCTATGGTTTTGGGACGGTTTTATCCTAACCCTAACACACCCAAAACAACTCCACCTGTAAACTTTGTGCGTTCTCTGAATATCATTGCTTATTTGTTGCCACACAAAACGCCTTTTCTCATTTTTCCAACTTTCTGTAGTGATCTATAGTCAATATCATCATCAAAATTAGCCAAAGTACGAAATCTTGTCAAGTATCGGGCCATCTGTAATCTTTTTTCAAACACCCTATATGAATTTGAGAAATTCTGTCTTTGTTCCGAATGATCGATTCTATTCGTTTCGGGACATCCAGCATAATTTAGTTCCATGGTTTACTGTGACAAAATATACCGCCATGTCAGAGTCATAAAAATAATATAGTGCTTTTCAGACTATTAAATATTAATAAGTAGTGTAGGGTCTCATATTCACGAAAAGACTAATAACTCGAAATATTTGGTCAGTTTCACGGATCAAATGAAGACTAACTTTAGTAACATAACTATTACATATCAGAAAGCACTGAAAAGCTATTTTATCTTATTAATAGATTCAATAGTTCTCATTCACATCCTTGCTAGGGATTGAGTCCAAGCCTTTCAGAGACCACTTAACTTTCAATCACATTACTAAGTCGGTGTCCGGTGGTTTACAGTTCTAGTATTCATCATTGGTGATATATGTTTCATGCTGAACATGATTGAACTCCAATGATCACACATGTACGCACGTACGAAGTTCTGACTGACTGATCACACATGTTCATCATCAACTTATAATTCCAACAGTCTCTATAACATCTCATCATAACAATTTTTATGATGATTCATCTGTTTGCCTACTCTTATTTTCTTTCTTCTTTCAATCCGTTTTTCATTGTTTTTCCTTAAATTCAGGGTATGTGCAACACAGAAACGACTAAGATACTAACTTATAAATACCACCCAGGGGAAATAATCAAACAGAATTTATCAAATGAAATCACTGAATTACGTTTGTTAACTGAGCGTCAACGTCAACGTATTCAAGTAAGGTTTACTTTATAATCAATTGATCAGTCAATGGGTAATAACTCACGTTGTGTTCGTATACTACTCTTTAATGCTTCTTGAACGAATTCTGTCTATCAGGTTATATTTAGGTTACCAAATGATTCGTCACACTGTGAACTATGCTTTGATATCAAGTAGTTGAAGACTGTCGGTGGGAAACTGTGGTAGACTTGAGCTTCATGCTATTTGGTGCTCATCAGCTAGGCATGCCTCCAATATTAAGGGAACTGATGCTCTCTGCTCCACTTAGTGATAAGCCAATTTTAAATGTCTCAATCCTACGTGAGATCATTTGCAACCTGAATAGCCTAGTTGTTACGATATTGAGACTGTGAAATTGGGTGGTGGGAATTGGAATCCCACAGAGAGCATTAATTCTCTTAAGATTGTCAGTGCAGCTTGCTAATGAGTACCAGTTAGTGCGAAACTTAGAGCTGGGGTTTTTTGTTCATTACCTCTAAAACACTTAACAAGTTTTATTGTGTTAATGTGTTTGAAAATAAATGATTCAATGAAAAAGTATACATCTTAGGGGACATGAAAAAGGAACGGGATTAGTGAGGGCTTTAACGTCTTGAAACTGTGATGACAGAGCTAAAAGAATAACTACTTGAAGCCGAGACAAGTTTTTGATGTGTCAATATGTCCTAACAAATCAACTAGATATCCATTGTTTTATCAAGTGTCCTATATGTTTATGAGGTTTTAAGTTTGTTCTATAACAATTTGCTAGTATTATATGCTTTTGGTGTACGAGTACGTTGAAAGAAAACTAGGGGCGGCCAGACCAAAACGTAGCTGTTAGGTCGGCCTCCAGAGAACTCCAACAGAGCCTCCAGAGGCTCAAAAAGAGCTCCAACCAATCAGAGCACGACAGAACATTCTGGAGTTCCAACGTGGCACGCTATCATTGGTCAGTAGCAATTTATGTCGTTAAGTGGATTGGCTGAATTAGGATGTTGATTTAACTTAAGCAAACATCTATAAATACCTACGATTTTCTGTACAAAGATGAACCTTGCAATAAAGCATCTTCTCCGTTACTCATGTCTTCTTACTGATCTTTAAGTCGCTGAGTAGTGCTAGTCCTGGGGTTATCCGAATAGCTTAGGATCTGAATATAGCGTTCAACCTATAAGATATAACAGTAGCACAAATCCATGAAGTCACTACTGACAATTGAACTGAGCCATGTTGGTAGGTGTTGAATACCTGGTTAGGATTCGCGATATGACAGCAATCAATGGTTAGAGACCTTAAATGATATGGCTCAAAATCGTTTGCAATGGTGAAGGTGCATCCACTGTTTGTGTTCTACCAAATTTTAATCTTCTGAATTCTACATGTCTCTATCTTTTTTCTCTTTCCAAATTTATTTCACTGTATATTATACTCTTTCAATAACATCTTCAAACCCTAATCTTTCCGATTACTGTTTATACTCTTACTACTTCTACCACTATGGGATTTGAATGGGCAACTGCATCTCTGTGTTAATGTGATATGGCAACTCGAAGTGATGTATGGACGTATGAAGTTCTGCATTGTTACTGTCTGTCTATCTATGGTGTAATTAGTTAGATTTTATAGTTACAGTTTAGTATAAAGAGTGAAAAGTAAAATCAATGAGTTACACAAAACTGAATAGTAATCGTTATGTTGGAAGATAAGGGAAGGTCGTTTTCTTAAATTTGGCTTGTATTAGATCCCATGTAATGCTGGAAGCACTGAATGGCCGTTTCTTCCTAGTATGGGATTCCTCAGTAGTGTGCATCCATGATCCAGCATGTGGGACTCGAACATAGGATAACCGATAATTAAACAAAACAGAATAGTATTGTGATGTATGCTACTTATATTGACAGAGATAATTAATATGTAGCGCCAATCAGAAATGGAATGCCTATCAACATAAGGTCGACTGCTGACTGTACAGAGGTATGACGGCAGTAAGGTGTTTCCTTCAGACAACCAGCATAAAAGTGATGCTGCCTTCCCACAAGGAGGGGTGGGGTTAGAGAAGGTCGGCCCTAAAATGCACACCTCGCCTTACCCCACGGATTTCCGTCTCCGGCGGTAAGGTCCTAACAAGTATTGGAGCTAACACAAAAATTACCCACAAAAAGGTCGCGTGTGACCGATCTCAAGCAGTTGTCCTTTGAGCACTGTGGTTCATTAAAACCACTTCTAACCCATTTTCCTTTTCAGGTACCTCTAGAAGAAACCTTCCACGGTGTGGGTAACCGGGAAGTGATAACTGCCCTCATACCTTTAACAGCAATCAAGATCGCTGACTGAAAAAAATCACTATCAAGTTGATTATAGTTCATTACACTCAGTCTATATACGTATTTGTATCTCTAATTTTAGGTTTTAGAAGAACGTATTATACATTTATCAGAGAAACGTGATTGTCAAAATCAAAATGTCGATGTAACTATGGAGTTAGATATCACTAATACTGTAGAAAATCGTGTACGTTCCAACCCTGATCCATTAACAGAACTTGCAGGTATGAATAAGTTAAGATTATTTTATGTTGTTCAATTCAATTCATCATATCATATCAGGATAACGAAATGAAATGATTCAAGTAAATATCACCCCTAGTCGAATTAATAACATTATTAATGATAATACAGACTATTATAGAACATTTTGTATTTAGATGGTGAGAAATACGTTTTTAAAAGTGCTTCCATTGTTATTCAAGGCAGTCTCAGGGCCCCAAATGTATTGGTACGGCCGAGAGTGGTGAAAGTCCTTTCTCCCTCTCGAAATGCTCTCACATGGTCACGCGTTTATAGCCTTTTCCAGTGAAGTCCTACTCACTGCCTTCTCGTGGCACTACTGTGGTTTACGAAACTGACAGGACGAAAAGCGAATGTCCGGAGCTTTAACCGGGCCTATGAACATAGAAAGTTCACCTAGGGGAGTTGGAAAACCGTGATTCCAAACCAATGGTGCATATGGACTGGCTCCAGTATACCGAGGGAACAAATGGTGTATGAATCAATCGTTGGTGACCGGCTACCATGGGACTTCATCTCCTTACGATGCTCCACTGCCTTGTGGATCAGACTTTCAGGTCGAAGGCTCCGAGTGTGGCCCATTAAGAAAACCACCTACTTCAGTTTGGGCACCTGAGCAGTATCACAGCCCTCACACAAATCGAATGAGATTTGTGTGGCACATATATATCTGGTGCCCCTTTGTATCAATATTTATGTGTTTCAATGAAATAAAATAAAGTGGAATCCGGGATGGAAATTTTGTTCTATTTGAGATACGCCAACTGCACGTGTCTTCTTCTCGGAGTTGATATCCATTCCAGAATTGAAAGCATTATAAAATAAATTAAAATTCATACCCGTTGCACAAGTAGGTGGTTATAGGGATTTGGTAGCTAAGTGAATAACGCGTTTGCGTTTGAATCGAATAGCACCGGATTCGAATTCCTCAGTGAATATCGATATTGGGATACAGGTACATCCAGTTGACAAGTCTCAAATGAGAACGAACGTACGTTTTTGATTCCATTATTAGCCATATTCTATCTGTTGTATATTATTAATTGAGTGCTTTCATTAACGCCAAACTATCGTTACTGATTTTATCTAGAGATGACCATAGGAAAGGCTTCATGATTAGATTAATCAACTCTCAGATAACTGAAATTCAACTTTTTTTTTCACTGTTGACTATTTTTTTTTCTTCATAGAATTAAAAGAAGAACTTCGTGTTGAACGTTTACGTCGTGATCGTTTAATGGAATTATTTGATAAAGCTAAAATGACATTTCGTATATCATATCGTGATCTATTAGGTTATCGAATTAATATTCAATCATGTGGAGATTGTCAAGTTTGTCCAGTGTTTACTACAAATGAAGAAGATACTTTATATTTTAAAGTTAGTTAATATCTTTTACGTTTGTTTTTTATATTCACACTTACCTTTTATTATTCATAGGGTTCTATTGAGCTAGACGTTTTGAGACATTGTACTCATATCTACTTGACCCAGTTATGACACTTATAAGCGTTTTATTTTATGCTATATAATCTGTCTCTGCCAGGGAAGTCCTACTCACTGCTTTTTCGTGGCTGGGGTGTTATTCACTAAATTGAGAGGACGAAAGGCGAATGTCCGGCGCTTTAACCGGGTTGGTGAACACGGCGAGTCCACCTAGGGGAGTTGGAAAACCCCATTTCTAATCCAATGGTGAACATGGGCTCCAGTATCCTGAAGGAACAAATGTCTTATGAACCAATCACTGGTCACCGGCTACCATGGGACTGCATCTCCTCACGATGCTCCACTGCCTTGTGGATTAAACCTCTAGGTCAAAGGCTCGGAGTGTGGCCCCCTAAGAAAACCACCTGCTTCGGTTTGGGCATCCGAGCAGTATCACAGCCGTCACACAAATCAAATGAGATTTGTGTAGCGCATATGTATGTGGTGCCTCCTTGCACCAATATTTATGTGTTCAAAAAAATAAATAAATAAACCATCTATCAATATTATCACAATGGTTTAAACTAGGTAGTCTTCATTCACCATCAGGACTCTGAATAACAGTCAGTAACATCACATGAATTGATGCCCTATGTTGGGTGGCCTCCCTTAGATTTTTTAAAATCTTATCCTACACCTGCTAGCATTGGATGTGGACATCAGTCATGATCTTATGTGCTGTCAGAGGTGTATGGAAAGTTATCATTTTCTGGTTCTCCACACTGCGAAAGAAAAAAATGGAGTTAAATTTAGTATTATCTACCTCGAAGCTTTACCGTAACAATCAAGATATAACTGCTTGAAACCGGGTATATATGACCTTTATGTTGGTAGTCTTAAATCTATTTGCTTCTTACCTTTAAGGTTGTTAGGTTGGCGACAGGAATCCATGGGAAGCATTATAGTGTGATTTTTTCTAACCCATTCCTCATGGTATGAATAGTCAGCATCGCCAAGAAATGCTAGTTATCTGCGGGAAAACTCCTACTGCCATTACACCTCTTTATAGTCGGTAGTACGACTTTGCTCTTGGATTTTCAATTTACTACTTTTATTTTCACCACTCACCATCCGACCTACCTGGAATGGAATCAGTGTTAAGCCCAATATAACTAGATTGGATCTTGAGGATAAGGAAGCCTGACTGTTAATTCAACGTAACAGCTATGATCAAGATATGCCGTGAATGGACATACATAACACATACTTTTTCTATCTGAGTCGAACTAAGTATATTTCCTTGACTTTTACAATATACATTGTTTTGCATTATACTCTGATGGAAACAATTCATTATATAATTCTCTGAAGTAGGTATATTGCTATTTTGAAGATAGTTTGAGTCCAGCTACAAATCGTATGTATAAAATATCTGATGGATTCATCCAGTACTTTACCAAATCAATGGTCTTTAAGATTGAGCGCTTACTCTAGAAATTTGAAGGTCATTGGTTTAATCCCTTTTATGAGATCTCAGTCAGTCAGTCAGTTATAACGTAGGACTTCGTACGTATGTACATCAGTTCGAGTTGTCATACCACATTAGCACAGAGATGTAGTTGTCGATTCAAATCTCATAATGGTAGAAGTAGTAAAAGTATAAACAGTAATAGGAAAGAATAGGGTTTGAAAATGTTATTTAAGGAGTATTATCCAATGAAATAAATTTGGAAAGAGAGAAAGAGAAAGGGACATAAAGAATTCAGAAGATTGGAATTTGAGTGAACACAATTAGTGGATGAACCTTCGCCATTGCAAACGATTTTGAGCCATGTCATTTAAGGTCTGTAACCATTGATTGCTATCATCTCGCGAATCCTAACCAGGTGGTCTACACCTACGAACATGGCTCAGTCCACTTGTCAGTGACTTCATGGATTTGTGCTACGTTTTGGTCTGGCCGCCCCTAGCTTTCTTCCAATCTACTCTTATGACATCTGCACTACTGTGAAGTCCTATATTAGAAAGAGATAGTTGTTCAGTTCTCTATGGTCTTTAATGATTATCTAACTGAGAACGCTCAATGGTGTCAACTGTTAATCTTTACAAATCCTCTAAGTAAATATGAAATTTGTTTACCAAAACATTATCGTTCATTTGTAAGCAAAGATGGATAGTGGCTAGCAGTGGAATCCAGTTTGACGCACATTTCGTCCTATTTGGGACTTGTTAGCTGGATGTACCCTTCATCTCAGAGTTGATGTTCACTTTGGGATTCAAACCCATTACTTTTCGCTTCAAACGCTATCGCGTTATCCATCCAGCCACTGAATCCTGATAGTCACTTCCTTGTGTAATGAGGATGAAATTTAAATTCACTTAGTATTACTTATTTGAAGAGACTGACCAGTATCAGTCCTAAAAACATCAATGAGAAGATTCAATGTTACTATTTCTTAATCATTCATTACAATATCCTTTTCTTTCTTTCTTTATTTCCCTTATTTTATATCTCAATAGAAAGTAGATGGGAAATTTGAATTAGTTGAAAATCAATTTACTAAATCATTACCAGAAAATATTTATCATTATTTAAATGTGAATCATTCAATTCCAGGATTTTTAGCTTCAATCACATTATACTACTTACAACAGAATACACTTTTAATATAATAAAGTAGTATATATTATAAAAGTGTATATTGATGAACAATATCGTTTCTATTTGATGTATTCATTATTCTATTTGTAAATATATATTAATTTTCTTAATTGTAATGTGTATTCATAATATCTATCCCTTTCGAAATGCTCTTACATGGCCATGTGTATATAGCATCTACCAGGAAAGTCCTACTCACTGCCTACTCGTGGCGGGGGTTGTTGTTTACGAAAATAAGAGGACAAAAAGCGAATGTCCGATGCTTTAACCGGGTTCGTGGTGGACACTCTCTGTGTCCACCTAGGGGAGTTGGAAAACCCTGATTCCAAACCAATCGTGCACATGGGCCCCAGTATCTTGAAGGAACAAATGACGTATGAATCAATTGTTGGTCATCGACTACCATGAGACTGCATCCCCTCACGATGCTCCACTGCCTTGTAGATCAAATCTTTAGGTCAAAGGCTCCAGGTGTGGCCCATTTAAGAAAACCACCTGTATTGGTTTGGGCACCCGGTCAGTATCACAGCCTTCACACAAATCAAATGAAATTTGTGCGGCGCATATGTATCTGGTGCTTCCTTGTCCCAATATTTATGTGTTTAAATAAATAACTAGTGCAAGCTAGAGAGTATTGGAAAGTTATTTCGTTCTAAAATAAGATTCTTTAGAAGCACGGATCAGCAATCCTAATAGAAGTTGAACCTGATACCGGGCTTCACAATGTGCACCTAAATACTAAAACTAATGAGCCACAAATTGTTTGTACAATCCCAAATTCTACATTCGTCAACAAGGGTCAATTCAACACTCAGTGATTTCATATACGGAAGCTATATCTTCTTATTACGGCATCTAGCTTTTAATGAACACGGCTTTGTCAGTATAAGGTTGTAGAGATTCTAGAGTTTTACTGAAGTCACAAACTTAGACAACCATTGAAAATCTGGGAGCACTGAAGGGCGGTTTCGTCGTGACTTAGGCACATTCCAGAGTTTTTGTGGGAACCTGTGACAAATGGAGTTCAACCGTGTTGGGTGTGAGCAAGTACTTATTAAATACAATGGAAGATGATCGCGTTATATTGTATATTGATTGAAACTCGACTTGTGCACTATCGGATTCTGTCCTAGTTGGCCTAGAGGTTAGACTTTTTGGTACGAGACCGGGGTTCTGAGTTTGATTCCTGATTGTGGGTTCGTAGTTACGAGTCTCTGAAAAATCTAATACTAGGATTTAGATCATTTCATGATTTCAATAAAACACGACTTTATGCCAGACCGAACTGAGTGTCGTGAAGTTTGAACGTGTGAATTATTACCTAAGGCTGTATACATGTGTCTTTTATGGACAAACCACTGTGACTTGATATGAATGGAAGTTGTATAAAACTGCTATCTATCGGTCTATCTTGACCTATTGGTTGAATTTTAGTGGTTTCGAATGTTATCAGATGTAGTTCAGAATAAAATTCAATATGGAAAGAAATGAGATCTATGGAAGTTGAAAGCGTGAGTCTATTGAAGCTAGACCACCATTGAAAACCTGGAAACACTGAACGGCCGTTTCGTCCTATCATGGGGCTCCTCAGCATAGCGCCTCCACGAGCACCCGCGAGATTTGAACCTAGGACCTACCAGTTTCGCGCCGGAGCTCTTAACCGGCAGACCACTGAGCTGGTATCCAACGGTGTTAATGTCTAACTTCAACTGATCGACGAAGTTGAGCAACCATTCACCAATTGTCTTCAGTGAGTTCCTATCTCACAACAGACGTGGTTTTGAACTCCACTGGTCACTGCTTCTCACTAGAGATCCTAATTGCTCAACTTCGTGGATCAGTCGAAGTTAGACATTAACACCGTCGAATGCCAGCCAGCTCAGTGGTCTATCAGTTAAGGGCTCCCGCTCGAAACTGGTAGGTCATGGGTTGGAATCTCGCGAGTGCGGGTTCGTGGATGTGCACTGCTGAGGAGTCCCATAATAGGACGAAACGGCCGTCCAGTGTTTTCAGGCTTTCATGGTGGTCTAGCTTCAATTGACTCACGCTTTCAACTATGAAATATACTAATTCTCCACAAAACTCCTTCTGATAATCTATGGAAGTGTCTTGTTTCAAGTTTACTAATCTCTGGCAATCCGTAGTGTTATGTTCGGGCACTGTTCAATTTCACTCAGAATTCTGGTTCTAATATCAGCGTCTTCGGGGGGATTGTAGGCTGCACGCAAACACGAGATACGTAAACTGATCTATGACAATGATGGTTGGGAAGTGGATTGCATCGACTCAAAAAAGGTACATGAGCAAACAAAGCAAAAGAAATGAGAATAGTACAAGTATATGTAAATTAGGATAGTGGAGTAGAAAAAACAAAATACAAGGGTCATGCTTAGATTACAGCAATTTTAGAATAGAAAAGTTTATGATTCATATAATAAGATAGGCATAAAACTAAATATTACCTTACAGATTTGAAATTAAGTGGAAAAATCCTACAAAAGAATAACTTTCATTATAATCAGAGATGGATAGTGGATAACAGTAGGATCCAGGACACGTGTTTCGTCCAATAAGACACTAATCAATTGCAGTCCCAAACATCAATGAGAAGATTCAAATAAACAATACCAAGTGAATTCAAACTTCACCCTATTGCACAAGTGAGTGCCTACCAGGACTCAGTAGCTGAGTGGATAACGTGATGGCGTTTGTAGCGAACGGTACTGAGTTCGAGTCCCAGAATGGACATCAACTCTGAGATGTAGGTACATTCGAGTAACGTGTCCCGGATAGGACGAAACGCGCGTCCTGGATTCCACCGCTAGCCACTATCCATCTTTGCTTAGAATGCCTGCGAATTAATGCTATACCTAGACAATACGCATAGTATGCACATATGCTAGTTATAAGAGACTAATCAACTGCAGTCCTAATCATCATTGGGAAGATTCAATACAAACAATACCAAATGAATTTAATAGCTTTCTTTTTTCGTCATTAATTTTCTATTCCTTTCTTTACATACCATGAGTGAGGACAATTAGGATTCATGAATACCTAGTTTAAGCAAATCTATAACAGGAAGTTTTGTCATAGTTGTGGTACAATTTTAAAATAGATACACCATATATCTGATCAGGACACACATTTGGAAATTTTTCGTCCCAACTGTAAACCTAATCGAATAGAAATTATCATTGTTATTTTTAACTACTCGTAAGTAGTATCAAGATGCATACTAAAAAACATGATCGAGAGTATAGCATATGGAAAGCAAGGATCACAATATTATTCAACAAAAGTGATTGGTTTTTCAAAGTTATTTTTCATCCCAATATAAATGAACTTGATTAATTGTTGGTCTAATAGTTAGTTAGTAATCAAGCACTTTTGGTAAATGAAGTGATCTATTATTGTACAAAGGTGACCTGCTTGAACATCTGGGCTGCCTGTTCTTGCTATCTAGATATTTCAACAAGGTATCTAATTTTGTTTGTTTTAATGCATCATTATGACTGTTAATCGTACAACCTATTCAAGTGAGCTTTTAAAGAGTATACAACCTTTCATTGTACTAATTACAAAAGGCCCAATCAGAGATATCGTGCTTGCTGGCAGGCAATATACTTAAGATCCACTAGTTTAGTGGTTACTCAAATGTCATTCATAAATTATAAACTAGTTATTTAGTTTTATTGTAGTGAATGAGAACACTAGTGGTGACAATTGAATGTATTTAAGCACAAAATTACAGACTATTTCACTCAAATTCACTTGTTATTGTTTGTTTGTATCTTCCCATTGATGTTTAGGACGGCAATTGGTCAGTCTCTTATTGGCATATGTGCATACATTACGTATTGCCTCAATATAGCTTTTATTCACAAGCACTCTAAGCAAAGATGGATAGTGGCTAGCAGTAAAATTAAGGACGCGTGTTTCGTCCTATAGTGAATATCAACTCTGAGATGCAGGTACATCCAGCTGACGAGTCCCAAATAGGATTCCACTGCTAGTCACTATCCATTTTTGCTTATCCTACAGTAAACAGTTAATTTGTAAATTATTAATCGATAGTCTCAAATTTGACCATTCCTTCTACAAATATCAGTTCATCGTCTCCGATTATCATTATTGTTCATGCATTTTTCATACTAATCACCTTCTGTTTTGATTCTTTCCTTAATAATCTTTTAAGTGAAATACATTCTCTACCTGATCATCACTTATATACTACTTAAGTAATTACTTATATAACCCAGAGACCACAATAACACTTGAGTATATGAATGTTTCAAATAAAGATAAGTCAATTTAAAAAATAGATTGTATCCTTCTCTTTTTTTTTAATGATAAACTCAACAGATTGTATGATGTTATTGAATATAATAAAAAATTTTCGAGAATTATAAATTTAATTGTTTAAGTGTTTACTTATCTAAAACAAGCCATAGATATGTAAATGTATTTATTGGAATAAATGTTTGTGTACATAATACTCCCTCCTCCTTACCCCCCCCCTTCTCCACAGATTTACACCTTGCACACACACACACACAGACCCACATACACATACATGGATACTCATGTAAATCTACACTTCATGATAAGGTAAATAGTTAAATGACGGATAAATTGTTGATTTACTCTAGTTATGAGCTATTCTTACTCTATAGGTAATTGAATGTACATATGTGCATATAAGTATTTAGTTGTATAGGTATTACAAAAAAAAAGTTGTTTCTTGTACAGGCATCCCTGTACACCTTAAATTATCTATCACCTAACTGATTTGTTTGTATGTTATAAAATACTACTACCAATACTACGAATACTACTACTACTACTACTACTACTACTACTACTACTACTACTACTACTACTACTACTAATAATAATAATAATAATAATAATAATAATAATAATAATAATAATAATCGTAATTATCATTAACTATGTATCAAAATATTAGTTGATAACTACCAACAAATAAAATAATACAGTGGCTCTT